AAAAATTTTAAATTTAAATTTTAAAAGCTCCCTATGTTTTAAACATGGACTGCTAATCAGAAAAAAATTATAAGCATGTCTTCAGCCTAATATGTTGTTGTTATCCCTGGGTAGACATTATGGAGACATGGGATTTATTATTCATTTGTTCATGTTGATTCAGATGATTGCGGTTCCCCCACATGCATGTTCAAAAATGTCTGATGTTAAGTGCTAACGTTAAATACCACAGCTTTCATAATAGAGTCTTCGTACCTTGAGTTCTTTAAACAAAGTAACCCTTTCACAGCAGTGGTGTGCTCTATGCTCTATAGAATTATACTTTCCTGCCTGCTTCCTATGAACTCAATGCTGATTTTTTTTTTTTTTTAGAACTATTGTTACCAACATTGAGAACTTTTGTCTCTCTTTTTATTTTTTAGTGAAAGTTACAAGACCTAATCATGAGTGATCAGATCAAATTCATTGTGGACAAGCTCAATAAGGATCCTTTTAGGAAGAACTATAACTTAATCACATTTGATTCCCTGGAGCCAATGCAGCTATTACAAGTTCTCAGTGATGTCCTGGCTGAAATTGACCCAAAGGTAAGAGTTTTCTCTTTTCTCCTACAGTGTGCTCTTACAGCAAGTCAGCGGCTGTGGGAAAAGGGGGACAGGAAAGCCAGTGCCCAACTAAGTGGCTGTGACTCTTGGGGAAGTTACTTAATCTCTCTGGGCCTTATTTTTCATGGCTGTAAAGTAATAGCAAATGGTCATTAAAGCTTCTCTACCAGCTTAGAAATTAAATTACCTGCTTATACCTTATTTAGAAATTATTTCTCTACTTCCAGACATAAATAGATTTGGTTTTGGAAAGAAAAGATCTTTATAAAAGAGAAGGCCCTCATTGTATTGCAAGTTAGCTCATGTCTCTTATACACTGGTCTTTTCCATGGGAGACTGTTATTTTTGTTTTTTAAGCTTAACATTCTTAATAGGAGTGTTGGTCTGACTCACCTGCACCCTCACTTGGAATTTGGGGGCCTCCATACGTAATCTGTTTTACGAAGAGACCATTGTGCCTGCTACGCCCCAGCAGAGTAATTTCGTCAGTGAGTTTAAATATTGTTCTTTGTTAAGATATACAACAATAACTTTTTTTTTTAATTTCTTTATTTGTTAGCAAGTCGTTGATATCAGAGAGGAGATGCCAGAGCAGACAGCCAAACGGATGTTGAGCCTTCTTGGTATCCTTAAATACAAACCTCCAGGAAATGCTACAGACATGTAAGAATCAATCATGTGTTGCTTTTTTGAAAATATGCTTTAATGTACCCAAGCCTTCATATGTTATTGTCAGTCTTCTCAGTCCATGCTTGGGCTTCTTAAGTTGGTGGCCTCAAAGCATCCCTGATTTTCACGCAGAAATCTTAAGTGGCCCATTTTTTTCCACAGTCAAAAATCAGACAAATCTTTTCATCCATTTTATCATTTATTTGCTATCCTAGAAAAACCAGCTTCAGCACTGCCCGATCAATGAGACAAGTTGTTAAGAATGACTGTACCAATTAATTGTTCGAACACAGCTTCCCTGAATTCTCCAATGGTGTTTTGAGGGCCTCGTTTTAATGCTCATTATGTACAAACTGACTTTATTTTATTTTAAACAAATAGTTATAAAAAGGAGTCAGGAAACCGTAAGTTGGATTTTGTGTGAATGTTCTCTCTTTTCAAGGTTTACTGATAAGTGTGTGTGTGTGTGTGTGTGTGCGCGCGCGCGCGCGCTCTTTTTAGGAGTACCTTTCGTCAGGGCCTGGTGATTGGAAGTAAACCTGTAATCTACCCAGTGCTCCACTGGCTTCTTCAGAGGACTAATGAACTGAAGAAAAGAGCATATTTAGCTCGTTTTTTAATAAAACTTGAAGTACCAAGTGAGTTTCTTCAGGATGAAACTGTGGCTGACACCAATAAACAGGTACACAATGCATAAATGATAATTTTAAGGCATTTGGCTGCTAACCAAAAGATTGGTGGTTCAAACCCACCAGCTGCTCTGCAGAAGAGAGATGGGGCAATCTGTTTCTGTAAAGATTGGCAGCTGTAAAAACCCAGTAGGGGTCACTATAAGTCAGATTTGATGGCAATGAGTTTGGTTTTTGAGTTGATAATGGATTTCAAGGAGCCCTGGTGGCATGATGGTTAAGCACATGGTTGCTGACCAAAAGGCCAGCTGTTTGAATGCACTGGGTGTTCTGCAGAAGAAAAATGCAACACTCTGCTTCAGTAAAGATCACAGCATTGGGAATCCTAGGGGGTCTGGGAGCTCTGGTAGTGTAGTGCCTAAAGCACTTGACTACTAACCAGAAGGCTGGCGGTTCAAACTCACCAGCCACTCCTTGGAAGGAAGATGGAGCAGTCTACTTCCGTAGTGTTACTGCCTCAGAAACCCAAGGAGGAGTCGCTATGAGTCGGGTCCGACTCGACGGCACATAACAACAACAACAAGGGGGTAGTTCTGCTCTGCCCTATAGGGTTACTAGGAGTCGGATTCAGCTTGATGACAGTGAGTTATAGTGAATTTCAAGGTGTGTATGTTCACATGTTAACCTCTCTAATCGTTTTGTTGTACCTGTGGTGCTAGATGTGGTACCAAAAGGTAAAATTGTTGTGTTAGGTGCTATTTTCAACTGTTGTCAAGTCATAAGGTATTGACTTGTACATACAAATACTGTCTTACATGGATTTGAAAAACCCTGAAATTAGGATTTTAGAATTATTTATTTGGAATCGTGAGTACATGGTATCCTGGGCCTGGGATAGGAGAGCATTTTGCTGATCAGTATGTTGACTGTGGAGTTTGGTGGCACAGCAGTTAAGCACTCAGCTGCTAGCTGAAAGGTTGGAGTTCAAACCCACCAGCATGTCCTTAGAAGAAAGATGTGGTAGTCTGTTTCCATGCAGCTTACAGCCTTGGAAACCCTATGGGTCAGTTCTCGTCTGTCCTATAGGATTGCTGTGTGTTAGGGTAGAATGGTGTTCTGTAGGAGCTCTGGTGGTGCAGTGGGTAAGGCATTTGGCTGTTAACCAAAAGTCAGTGGTTCGAACTCACCAGCTGCTCTGTAGAAGAAAGATGGGGCAGTCTGCTTCCATAAAGATGTACAGCTTTGGAAACCTAGTGGGGGTCATTATGAGTCGGAATTAACTTGATGGTGGTGCATTTGGTTTTAGAGTTTATAGATGTTTAAGGATCCATTTTTAATGCTGTTCCTATAATGATTTAAGTAATCATTCTAAGTTAATAGATAACCTAATTAAGTAAAACCTACTGGATCTGGTCGTTCATTTATAATTTTCTAACTTATTCTCTTAGTATGAAGAATTGATGGAAGCTTTTAAAGCTTTACATAAAGAATGTGAGCAACTGAAGACATCTGGATTTTCTACAGCAGAAATAAGAAGGGTAAATAAAGAAAGGAACCATGGAATATTTATTGGGATTTGAATAATACTGAATTTATCATTTTTATTTTTAGTTAATTAAGTATATATTTTAAGACCATATGGGAATTAGTGATAGAAAAGCAGATTTCCTTTGGTATAGAACCTTTGCTAGATCTTTACTGAAGAAATTAATGAGGCCAGAGTAAATTCATAGTGAGTTCTTTTGTACTATATTGACCATTACCATGGATTAAAAAAGATT